GACTAAGCTGGGAGAATGAATTTATGTGTGTAAAGGGTTTTGAAAGGCAGTAAGTATGATGTAATCTGACCTCAGGGCTTCTGGGAGGTTTCCAGTTGGTGACATGGTTTCACTGGAGCTTGAGAAATGTCATGGCAGCATCTATGTGGTTTAGGGGATGGGGCAGAGGAGACCAGGTGGTAGACTGACAGTTGTCATACAGGCAAAGATCAGAAGGCCTGGGAGTCTGAAGCTACTAAAAGTCCTTAGAGGTTTATAGTTCACTGTGCCCATTCCTTTCTTTGTGGGTCACCAAGGATCTAGTTAGTTAGCATCTCACCTCTAGAGTAAAATAAGACCATAACTGGGATCAAGAAGAAATAAATATGTATAATTAACAGACCCATTTTCTCTGTGCCACCCACTGTCCTAATAATGTACGGTATGTAAAATGCTTTAAAATTGCAAGATAACAGTAGTCATTTTTCTCCTTAAATCATTAGGTATATACATTATTATAATTGACAACATAGTGGCCTCTTTAGGAGATCTTAATCCACAGGCTAATATTCAAACCAGCTTTCTTCTTCATTAAACACATGTGATAGCCCTTGCCATGGAATAAGTTCTCAGTGCAAGAGATAGCTACATTTTGCTCAAACTAAACCCAAATTCTGGAATGTCTAGTTGTCAAGAGGCCACTGGGAAAAACAGACAACAACCAACAGCAACAACAGCAGCAGCAGCAAACTGCCTCCAGACACACTGGAAAAGGCACACTAGAGACAGGTCTGTCCTTGTCTCATGCTCTCTTTGTTAGTTCCGTCTGTATCAACAATCATGGAGGTCACCTTGGATGAGTCCATAGCCTGTTGGAGCTCTCAGAGGCCTCATCTCTGCCCTGTTACCAGTGACAACTGTACCCTCGAGGTTTTGAACATGACTGATAAGAAGTGCATATGACAGACCCTGGCACCAAATAAGTTCTTTTTTTTTTTTTTAAATGTAATACTGTTTATTTAACTTCAAAAACATTTCAGCATTCTAAACATACAAAAAATAACAGAATGTTGCAAATTGCGTTTAGGTACAGAGGGTTCTTGAACTTCCATTGATGCAGTAGTTCTTTGCTTTGCTGACAATGATGAGTTCTACAGTTTCTTTTAAAAGTTTAAAATCTACTGCACTTAACTAAGGAAAAAACTCCAAACACTTCTCATGCCAGATGACCCCTCCCTTTCCACAACTAAGAATGTCAGCAGAATGCTATGCCACTATATACAAAAACAAGACGACCTGAAGCTAACTGGATGCTCACCGCAGTATCAACAGGTCCAGCCTCACAGTGCACGCCCTGAGCTACGGCCCCCGTCAAAAGGCATCTTCCCCTCACAGCCTCCACACCAAACAAGGAGCATCAAGAATCTGTCTGGGTTGTTTTGTTCTCTTTACAAACTATAGATATGTACAGTTGAAAACTCAGGGTTTCTAGCCAATAACCATATAGTTAACACTACCTTACGAGTTGAGAACAAAATGCCAGAAACATCCTCAAATGCCTTGTCACATCAACAGCAAAGTGCACTGAGTGAGGAGGACTCAAGAGTGCCTTTTCATTTTAAAAATGTTTGGAGCTATGTACAACTTTGATACAGTTTCAGGGCGCTCTGGACACCCACGGCCACTTCATGTAAGCCACTGACACTTTGAGAAACTACAATATGATCGTGATCAAATTTTGTAATTAAACCTAACAAGAGAAATAGACACGGCTCAAATAAGAGATGTGTCGATCACAGCGCTTTCCTACTCTAAGGTATTCACAAAGAGACAAAGTTTTTATTCATCTTCCTCCTCTCCCTCCTCCTCTTCCTCCTCCTCCTCTTCTTCTTCCACCTTTTTCCAGGCAACTTTAGCAGGACCCTTGGCGCCATCAAACTTTCCTTTAGACTTATAGTCAGCAACTCCTTCTCATACTTCTCCTTCAGCTTTGCTGCCTTGGTAATGTAAGGCTGCTTTTCATTGTCACTTCAGTTATTCCACATCTCACCCAGCTTTTTTGCCACATCTCCAATGGAAATGTCAGGGTTTGTGGATTTGATTGTGTGGCAGAATTCCGAGCAGAATAAGAAAAATCCAGATGGAGGTCTTTTGGGGGCATTTGGGTCCTTCTTCTTCTTGCCTCCTTTAGCTGGTCCATAATCTTTCATCTCCCAATCATAGCGTACTTTATCTACCTTTGCCATTTCATCAAACTTTGATTTTTCTTTGCTAGACATTGTCTTCCACCTCTCAGAGCACTTCTTGGAAAACTCTGCAAAATTGACTGGAACCTCTGGGTTTTTCTTCTTTTGTTCTTCCCTGCATGTCTGCAGGATGAAGGCATAAGCAGACATCTTGCCCTTTGGTTTTTGGGGTCACCTTTAGCCATCCTGACTGTATTGTTCACTAGTCTCACCAAATAAGTTCTTAGTGCAAAAAATATCTGTATTTCAATTAAACCGAATCTGAGTTCTGGAGTTCCTAGCAGTTATAAAGGAGCCATTGGAAGGAATACATCTCAAGACACAGCAAAAATAAAATGAAACAACTCACATTCTTGACAGGCTTCTCTTTGTCTCACATTCTCTGCCTTAGCTCAGTCTCAAGCCGTGGGTGGGGCAGTAGGCCTGGCCTCTCACTACCCATTCATCCTCTTTTTAGCCTGAGAAGAGTCTTCTGGAAGTCCTTTAACTCAAAATGAAAAAGCCAAAGAAGCTGGGTTAAGACCAAAAGCATTCCTCTTTCTCCACATCCTCGCCAGCCTCCATTGTTGGTGGGATTGCAAGATGGTGCAACCACTTTGGAAATCAGTCTAGCTGTTCCTCAGAAATTTGGACATAGCATTACCTGAGGACCCAGCTATACCACTCCTGGCCATATACCCAGAAGATGCTCTAACATATAACAAGGACATAAGCTCCACTATGTTTATAGCAGCCTTGTTTATAATAGCCAGAAGATGGAAAGAACCAAGATGTCCTTCCACAGAGCAATGGATACAAAAAATATGGTACATTTACACAATGGAGTATTACTCAGCTATTAAAAACAATGAATTGGAGAAATTTCTAAGGTAAATGGATGGAACTAGAAAATATCATCCTGAATGAGGTAACCCAATCACGAAAGAACACACATGGTATTCACTCACTGATTATTGGATATTAGCCCAGAAGCTTGAAATACCCAAGATTCAACTCACAGACCACATGAAACTCATGAAGAAGGAAGACCAAGTGGGGGTGATTCAGTCCTTCTTAGAAGGAGTAACAAAATACTCAAGGGAGCAAATATGGAGACAAAGTGTGATACATAAACTGAAGGAGGGACCATCTGGAGACCATTCCACCTGAGTATCTATCCCATGTGCAGTCACCAAAGGTAGATGCTGATGTGGAAGTCAGGAAGTGCATGCTGATAAGAGCCTGATATAGCTGTGTCCTTAGAGGCCTGCCAGAGTTTGACATATTCAGAGGTGGATGCTCACAGCTAACCATTGAACTGATCAAGAGGTTCCCAATGGAGGAGTTAGAGTGAAGACTGTAGGAGCTGAAAGGGTTTGCAGCCCCATGAGGAGAGCAACAATACCAACCAGCCAGAGATCCCAGGGTCTAAACCACCAGCCTGGGAGCATCTAGGGAGGGATCCATGACTCCAGCTGTTTATGTAAGGGAGGATAGCCTTGTTGGGCATAGGTGAGAGAGGAGATCCTTGGTCCCATGAATGCTGGACGCTGTGTGGGGGGGAATTCGAGGGTGGGGAGGTGGGAGTTGGGCGTATGTAGGGGCATATCCACAGAGAAGTAGGAGGAAGGGCGATGGGAGAGGGGGTTCCTGAGTGGCGGGCAGGGGAATGGGGTAAGGGGATAACATCTGAACTGTAAATAAAATATCCAATAAAAAAAGAAATATAGAAATAACATTTACTTTTTTCTAGTTTGGGCTGTTGTGAATAAAGCTGATATAAACATTCTTGTAAAAAAAAAAAAACATAAAAAAAAAGTGTGCCTTACTTCTTCTCCACTCTGTGCAGGGATTCCACACTGAAGAGCTTCTGGCTGTCACTCCTGCCTCTAGACTGCTCTAAGCATTTTTCAGGGACTATGAATAAAGTGCAGCTCACAGTCTGAACAGTAGTGGTTCATCTTGCTATAGTCAGAAAAGGGAAACTTTGGGGGCGATGATTTCTCTCTTGGCTGGTTTTATTTTTCAGTTAGCTGAAATCTATTTTTGTATCACAATGTAAACTTCAATAACAGTTTTTAATAATAACAATAATGATGATAATTAATAATAATAATGTTATTTCTTAATATTACCATGAATAGAGATACCTCTACAAAGTGCTTCCTACAAAATGGTACAAACTTGACTTCAATACCCAGTGCTCTCATTTAAAAAAAAAAATGGGCATGGGAGCTTGTACCTGTAATCCTAGCACTTTGGTGACAGAAATAGAAGGATCAATGTAACTCACTGGCCAAGCAGACTAACCAGGTCAGTGAGTTTCAGGATCAATGAGGAACCCTATCACAAAAAATAAGGTAGAGAGGGGTTGAAGAAGGTAAGTGATGTCAGGATCTCTCTGCACATGCACTAGCCTGCACATATCCACAAACACAAACATGCACACACACACACATATACACACACATATACTCATACATAAATACACACACACATACACACACATACACACACGATACTTTGTTACCCTGTGACGCTTAATTGTATTAACAAGTCAAAATGTATTGATTGCATTTTACTAATGCAGGTGCAGACATATATACATATGTTTCTTCATATATATATATATAGTTGTGGTTTCCATGTTGATCACCACAGAGAAATTTTTAGCTGAATTGTCCCTGATTTTCTTTTGCAATAGGCTTAGGAACAAGGCTGCCTGAATTCCAAGGAAAACAGTTCCAGCATACACATAGATGAATTATCAACCCTTGTGTTTTTTCTGCCTTGCAGGAGAGAATAATAGAGCGCTTGAAAGAGCAGAGGGAGAGAGATGACCGGGAGAGACTGGAAGAGATAGAATCCTTTCGAAAGGAGAACAAAGACCTCAAAGAGAAGGTCAATGCTTTACAGGCTGAGCTGACAGAGAAAGAGGTGGGTCTGGAAAAACAAGCATGTCATATCTGCAGTCCTTAAATCCCTGTCTTTGTTGATATTTATTTCACTGATGGTCTTAGGGAACATACAGTTTAGTGTGAAGACTTGGGGAACAAGACTGCCCGAATTCCAAGGAAAACAGTTCCAGCATCTCCTTTCATCAGTGACACCTCTGGGAATCTTTACCATTCAGCTGACTGCAATGTGGTCCCTAGAAACTTTCTTTCTTATGTTTTACTTATTAACTAAACTTGTATTACTTAGAGAATTTTTTAGGTCCTATTATCTTTTGCTTGAATACCAGTTAGCATAACAACAACAATAACAATGATAACTCCACTTTACTTATTAATGCTTTGGGGGGTATTTTGCATTCACCAGCAATCCTCAAATGGATCATACAATATTGCCCAGGTAAAAAAACATGGCATTAAACATAAAAGTCTAGGCTTTTTGATTTTATGGTAAATTATTTAAAGCCATCCCACCATTTCACACTATAGCAAAGATGAATACAGAGTATAAGTGTCCCCTGTGTTTTTACAGTAAGAATATACTTTAAGGAACTCTACTTGGGTGTTCTGGAGCAGTTGTTTGGGGCTGCAGTCTCTATGGTCCAGGGACACATGTCAAACATGTCAGTATTCATGAGTATGCTTTGGTGAAGATATGGGTGAAGCAGTTGTATACCTTAATTTTTTAGTATTATTATTTTCAGCTGTCCCTGGCACAGTGATTTTTGTCTCCCAGAATTGCCTAACCTCTGCGGATGGCTGAAGCATGTTTGTCATGCTCGATCTTTCTAATCCACAGCTACCCCTTCTCAGCTCTCCACGGTTCCCCATCCCTTGTATGTTGATAACGCTATACAGAATATAGTCTTTCCTTAATAGGAACTTGCAGCTTTGATGCAAGAGGAGTACCGAGGGAGCCAGAAGACAGTTTCTTATCCTTCAAATCAATGCTTACTAGACTTTTAGAGAGGAGCTCATTTCTTTGTCATGGCGATAAGGAATATAATTCTTCTTTTCAACACATTTTGTACTGCCAAATCTGACTGGATGGATCTGCCATTTGCATGCAACAGAAGAATACTAGCTTCACCCTCATTCGTAATTTCTTTACTATTTGGATTTGCAAGTTCCATTGGAGGGTTTGTACCTTAAACTTCACTCCTAGTAAAAATGAGACCCCAGTGAGTTGGAAAGCAGAAGCTCCAGACAGCAACAGTTACATAAGCAGTGCCAGCCACACGTGAGCATCCTATGGGCAGCTCTGGAAGTATTGCCAGGTCCAGTCAGAGAAACAGACCCAGATTAATAAATTTAATTAAATTAAGGGACCCCCAAAAAGGAAATGGTCTATACTCTTAAGGGAGGCTGGACAAGCCCAGCAGATGTAATGTGACTACCAGGAAGGACAAACAGAGAACTTAGACACAGGCTGCTGCTGTAATCCACAGGAGAAAAGATGAGTTTTGCTCCTAAGGACTTTTTCTTTGTTTTCCTCAAAGGTTAGGACCAGGCCCACCCAGATGACAGAACGTAATCTTAAAACTTAAAATCAACTGATTATAGATGTTAGTCATGTCTTAAAAAAAATGTCTTCACAACACTTAGATTAATAACTAGGAGCTACAGAGGAACCAAAATAAAGCTGGCCATCACAACCGGCAATTTACTATTTAAAAAAGAATTTCTTAGAATCGCAGTTCTTAGGGAATTTATGATTTAGTTTGAGTGATACTATGTCTTCACTATGATAAATGACTGGATTATAAAGTCCTTCACACCCCTTCCCCACCCCCTGTGGAAATGCAATTAGAGTTGTAGACTTCAGTTTGAGACTTAGACCTACCTTTAATGGCTAGGTGACCTTTGGACAAGGCAAAGAGTGAATATGAACTTCAGCTTTCTGTCTTGAAAAACTGACTCACGTGTATAGGAGCTTTCTGCTGGGCAATGGTGACCTCCATCATTAAGGACATCCAGTGCTCAGGAAAGGGACTTGTATGAAGTAGTTGGCAGCGTCACTCTTTACTGAGAGAACACTGTATGCTTATTACCTTTCTTACTGTTACAGTCTTGATATAAAGTGCCCAACTGTCCATTTTTGTCACTAGGGATTCTTAGCCATTTCATATTTGATGATGAACATTGCCCTAATAGATAGTAAAAACTGTGTTCAGAGATATGTCTTCAAGTACTTATTTCTTTGGATTTTAGAATTCAAGCTATCTAGAGAAGCTCAGAATTCTGGACATGGTTAATAACAGCAATATATAGGCAACTTTGTATCTGAGTGGGAGATTAATCATTTTTATTGAATCTGGACTACTAAGGTTTAGAACTTTATCTTTGATTTACTAGGAGATATTTGAAAATTTTAATCATTGTGTTTCTGTTAAAAGAAAGGGGATTTGACAGAGTTTAATAGAATGCTTCCTTTGTATTTGATCTATCCTTGGAAAGAAGCATCAAAGTCAGTAGTTTGCTTCAGATCTGTCTCAGAGTCTGCACAGCTTAATTACAATAAATACAAATGGACAGCTTAGGTGTCTGTTTCAAGAGGTAATACTAAAAGATCACCTCAGGACTTTTATCATTAGCATGGCTTTGAGATGTGAAACTTCTTGTACTGGTCGCTCCATTTAGTCCCATTTGAATCTATTGCAATGAGATCCTGCTCTGTTTTGTAAGCCAGCCAACTTTAGTTTCCAGGTTAGAGTCTATTATTCCTACCATAGTAAGATGTGCCGGTTCTGTCTAATGCATACTTTATTGCATTGTGTAGAATCAGCGGATGTATGTTGATGACCTTGCCAGGAGAAATTGTGATGTTTTGCTTACTAGCATTCTTCTTCTTTCAGTCTAGTTTAATCGACCTCAAAGAACATGCATCTTCGTTAGCTTCTGCAGGACTGAAGAGGGACTCCAAACTGAAGTCTCTAGAAATAGCCATCGAACAAAAGAAGGAGGAATGCAACAAACTGGAGGCACAGTTAAAAAAGGTAAGTGAAGTCTAAGAAGAAATGTGCTGACTTGAGAATGAATTTATGAAATGGTTAAGGGACAAGCATTATTTCCTTTTCAAAATAAACAAACTCCGTATCATTTGCTGTCTGTAATAAAAGAATTTTAATTAAACACTCAAGTTGATTCCTGAGGAGTCTGCATCAAATCTCTCTCTGTAAATCTGAAAAAAAAAACTATCTGAAGTTTCCTGTCGAAAGAAAACTTGAAAGAGACAAAATAGTAGCAGAAATGAAAAGAATAACAACTAGCTACTACTCTCCGGGAAAAAGAAAAGGGTGAACAAGAATGTTTCCAACAGGGGAGAAAATCCAGAAGTCTCCTTATATTTTGACAAATTTTTACAACTTTCAGAAGTAGGTCAATTTTTGTAATACAACTTGGCAAAAATGTTCCTGGCAACACTCATTTTCTAGATGTTCATTGAAGTGGCCAAGTCCCCAGTGCATCTGTAGAACGATGATTTCTAGTGAATTAATAATGGTCTACTGCCTAAGGAAGCTCATTACAGTCAGAAGTCTTTGGAAAAGAAAGCAGGCTCTTTCCATGTGGCCTTCACTGTTCTCTCCAACCTGCACCCTGTTGTAGAGTGCATCCCGAGTCATGCCTTGTCCCTTTGCCTCTTTCCCCACGTTGTTTGGTTTGTCTGCACTCATTGTTCATATAAAACTCATAACGTTATTAATTTAAGTCTTTTGTTCCTCTTGATAACATATAAACCTAACCAGAAGAGATAAAAATCTTAACATTCAAATAAAGCATACAACAAGATTAGACTGTGACCCACAGCACACTAGGATGGGGATTTATCAACTGTAGTTATGAAAATGGATGGCCCGAATGGCCATAGATATGAGCAGTTTATGTCTATACAAGAATCATTTTGAATGGTTAACATTTAAATATTCTATTATACATGGAGTTATGGAATACAAATTGAAATGTAACTGTTTCATCACCATGAGAAATTTTACACTAAGAAAGTCTACTTACTAAGACTCAGAAGGGATGGCTGTGGAGATGGCTTCTGGGTAAAATGCTTAACTCCTTTTCCTAGGAGACCCATGGAAAGGAATACCAGGAAGTCTGACTTATTCCTATAATTCTATTCCTGGAAAGTAGAGATGAGTAGGTCTCTGGTGTCTTTGGCCTCTCAGTTTACTTAATTGGTGAGTTCCAGGTTAATACAGAACAGCATGTCAAAGTATAAGAATGTAAGGTAAAGAGGCAACCAAGGAAGACACTTCATGTTTACCTCTGTGTAATTCATGTCTATACAGGGGCATCCACAGTCATGTACACAGACATGCACCACATACAAGCACACACACACACACACACACACACACACACACACACACACACAGAGGAACATGGGAAAATAAAGAGAACTGTGCCTAGTAAATCTCATTTAGCAACATGGTGAGAACATTTGAAAAAGATTAGTTTCAGGGTTGTCCCAACATCTCCCTTCCTTTAAGTAATACTATTTAGTAAAGCAGAAATATGGACCAGTAAGTGAAAGAGTTTAAATTGCCCATTTGAGGCTAATTAGATAGAGATTGAGTTGGCCATTTTAGCTTTTGGGACATGAAACATTTTCTTAACTTATTTATATTGTACTTTATAATATACTAACCTTTACTGATATGATAGTTTAGTGATATTCAAACATAAGACTATTGCAAAGGGAAATGGCCTTTTCATGATCTTACCTCACTTGTAGTAGTGGTAGGAGAATCTCAAACATACTCATGCCTGAAAAACACCCTCCATGTCATGGAGATCAAAGCTCTATATGTGATTTCTACATATATGTGATTAACATAAGCCCTTTGTCAGTATAACTCAGTGTTGGCCTTTGAAATCCCATAGTGACAAACAGAAGAGATTCTTTCACATGTTGATGCTCTAGTCTCCTTGTTTATGGTTATTAGTTTATTGAATCTACATCCGTAGGGCTGCTTCAGTTCAGCTTGGTTTGCCCAGTAGATCACTTGCTGCATGCCTTTTCCTAAGCTCCCAGTCAACACCATTTACTGAAACTCACAGACCAAGTCCTACAACATTTTACATGGTATTTAATGGCATTTTCGTATTCTATAGAGTCACCAGCACTAAAGTGACACATATAGTTGTCTTATTGTAAGGGAATGATTTAATTCATGAAAACACAACTAATTCTTAAGTATTTACATAGCCTTTACTTATGCCATCTAAGCACATAGTGCAGTGAACCTCAGAAGATAATGATAATTTAAATATTTTTATGCCTAACCTACAGATGTTACATCTGGCTTTTTAGTATTGACTACATTTAGGTATGAAGTAGTTTTTTTTTCAGTAGTCTCTAATTTCTGCTGCTAGTTCCATTAAAACCTTACCTTAGAAAGAAATGAGATACACATTGGATATTTCAAAGCACAAGGCAAGAGCATATGAATGTACATATAAATGCACCATTGGGGAAAAATATGCAACACTGATAGCCTAAAGGGGTGCCTTCACCTCCTTTAAATGGAGCAGCTTGTGACTTGTGAATAAAATAGATTTACTAAATAAAAGCTGAAAATAGAATAATTTTGTGTAATAAATACACTATGAGTTTTTCCAGTGGTGTCTTACTCAAGATTTGTGATGGTCTAGGTAGGTTTTCCCTTGAAATCCACATCAGGTTATAAATTCTTAGCATTTTAGCTGAACAGATTTTGTCTGCTAGTGACGATGGAGATTTTGACTTGTTATCTGATTAACAATGCCTGACTAAAATAAGCTAATTTTTTTTTACACAAATATTTATGGAGAAGTTTGGATACATAGCCATTTTAAACACCTTTTGATATGGACTTATAAAATCTTCAAATATTTTGTGATTAAAAATGCACAGAAAAGGGATTCTGTGTCTTCTCTCCCAGCCTCTTAGAAATGGCAGTCACATATTCATGTGTGAGGAAACTCTGCTGATTTTAGTGAGTTAACTAAGCAACGCTAACCAGGTAAGGCATGACTACTAATTGTAAGTGTGCACAACAATTAAGTCTACACACTACTCATAGTTATCTGCAGATTAAGAACACCTGATTGTTGATATATAGACCACACCATCTAGTGAATGATTTTTTTTTTTAAGGCTCAAGCTGTAGAGGTTACTTGACTTGTACCTATAGGAATTTGCTGAGAAGCCACAGAATCCAAAGAGCCATGGCTTCTCCCTTCAGTTTTCCAATAAATATCATGCTTTAGGAGATTTTTTTTTAAAAAAATTGTGTTAGAATCATTATTTGCTATACTCCAGTTGAAGAAACAGGTGTCTTGTCTCAGCCTAATACTAAATAATAATTACTGTAGTATTTTATGTACTAGACTTTAAACTTGATCGTCAAATTAATGTGTCAACAGTTCATCAATATAACTTGGGAACACTATTTACAAGTAATATTTAACACATTTGACATGCACAAAATTGACCGGCACCCATTATAGTTACTAAAGCACCTGGAACATAACAGGATACCTTTGAAAATTACTTTTTCTAAATCGAAATGGTGGAAACTGATAACTGACAGCACTGTGCTACAGTTTCCTTTCATCTTTCTGCAGACTTGAATTTTTTCCCATTTAAATTAGTCTGGTATTGCCATGCTTACTGATCCTTCACTTTTGCTAGCCTGCTGCCTCTTGGTCTCTATTTAAGTTAGACACCAAATAGACAATTTAGTCTTATGTTACTACCGAAGAAGAGCTATAAATCCAATGATAAGATTTAATTAATCTTTTATTATTTCCATCTTTGAAGTTCAGGTAATAAATTGTGGGCTTGGCCAAAAGCACTTCTTCTGATTCATTGCTGGAGGCCAGCACTTCATGTATCACCAAAAGTGGACAGTTTTCTTTATTTCATGGGCTATTTAACTTGAAAAAGGGAAAGTAACACAAACCTTAAATTTCTTATTCCAGCTATTCTTTTTTAGGAGCCAAAGTCAACATTTGTGTTTCCCCTGAGCCTTTCACTTTCACTGTGGAATGTTTAAAAACTGAAATTTCTTCTTCTCCTCCTTGTTTTTTGAAGAGCAGCTCGTCTGTGCAAATGCACTGGATTTGCTGAGCTAATGCTGTTTTTCTGGATCTTTCCTTCTTTCCCTGTCTGTGCGGCAATGCCTTCCCACCTTTGCAATGTAGCAAGCCGAACAGTTGTTCAATCAGATGTACAATCCAGTAAGTCATTTCTGAAAGTTCCCGCTGTAACATATCAAAGCATGAGGATCCCCTAAGCCCATGTCTCAGTGTGCCACACTGGGGACGTTTCCCAAATGCTGGTCAGTCTCTTCCATGTCCACTCTGTCAAAAGGAACGAATCTGCACAAAGCCAATGCCATTTCTTTTAAAATTTAAAAAATGAGAGGCCAAAGAAATATGGTCAGCTCTTCCCAACTTCAACTCTCAGGCTACAAAAACAAAACAAAGCAAAGCAGCTTGAAGATCTAGGCTTACAGTATCTTCGGTGAGACCCTTCAATGCCACAGAAATAGCATTTGTAGAACAGCTGGCAGCTCACATGTATGCTCTATGTATGAACTCCATGTTAAGCTGGGTGTAGCTTTAATATCTGAGCTGTACCCTTGGAGACTGATAAACTCCTAACAACAATGTAGGGTTTGTAAAAGTTCAAAATATCTCACAGGCCCGAGGGCAGGTTACAACATCCTCTACTGATAATGGAACATAGCAATTCTGAATTTAGTTTAATGAAGTCTGAAAAGCAGGTAACTAGTTCAAAAATGAATAAAATGTCCCTACTCGCTATTTATCTTAATGACATGTCCATTCATATCAAACACTTATTTGTTTGTTTAGTTTATTTTAAAAAATTGTTTTGTCAACAGATTAGCTTACTGAGAGTTAGAGTAAGTGAAGGTCACTAGAATGTGTCACTGGAGAAGGATGATGATGTACCATCACTCTAATTGTCTTCTATTTATAAATCTACATCACAGAAAAAAAAGATATGCATAAAGGAAGCAATTCAGTCAACACAATGTTATTTCTTTAGCCAAGCTCAGCCTGTGTACAGGCAGATGTGCAAGATGCTTGATGTACTTCATAGATTCTGCCTGGACCCTTCATTTGACCCAACAAATACGTTTACAAACATAGTCCCTAATGCCTTGCTGGAGTGTCCTCCACATGGATCTGAGCAGAGTAGCAAAACTAACCAACCAACCAACCAACCAACCAACTAACCAAACAACCAACCAACCAACCAACCAACCAACCAACCAACTAACCAAACAACCAAACAACCAAACAACCAACCAAACAAACTGCTCAAGTTTTCTTTCCCTTAACATTTGAATGAAAGTAGTAATAGATAGGTTCAAGACAATTGAGAGGTTAAGAAAGACAAATAGCAATAATAATAATGATGAATAATTAACAATAATAACAACAATAGATTAGAATATCCCGAAGCTTGAAAGATCACCCTGATTTTTTTTTAAAGCATTTGGTAAATGTTTCTAGAACAAGATTGCATAACATTTTTTTTCATAGTTACAAGTTAAGGACAGAAGAATCTAAATTTGCGGTGCTTTGTGCATATGAAGCACAGAGGGACTGCTATGTTTCTATGGCTGCAGAGAGTTCTCAGGACAGTAGGTGGAGTCTATCAACCCTTCTCAGAGTAGACAGGGTCAAAGAAATGGCTTAGTGGCATGGTGTTTTCTACTTTCCCTTTCTCTTCCACACAGGGCCTGGCCTCAGCAAGTCAAAAACAAACTCTTTTTAGTGACTAATTCAAGGTCTTAGGCTGACATTCTTCCTCATGTTAATTAAGCTAACCAAATGGTTTGGCGTCCTGGGAATATTGCCAGCTCTCCTTGTTTTAACTCCCCCTGTCTGCAGATATTTTCAGGATCTAGGGTTTGGGGTTTTTTTTTTTGGAGGTAGAAGGAAGGTTCTGATAGGGATGCAGTTTTCTACCCTTTACAGTCTTAAAAGTGACTGCATTCTCCTAGTTATAAAAGTAATATATAGCCATGGTATTGAAAAAGTAAAGAAGGATGTAACAGATAATAGAGCAAGAGGACAGCTCACGGCAGATGTAGCCAGGAGGAGTGAGTATGTGCTCATGTTCCTCTACCAGGCACCCTTAAGTGGAAGATACTACTCTTCTTTCTCTCCTTTTTTCCTCTCTGTCTCCCTGTCTGTCTGCCCATATGTTCTTCCTTCCTTCCTTTTTGTTCCTCCTTTTTTCCTTACATACTTTATTTATTTTCACCAAGTTGTACCAAAATGTTTATTCAATTTTTTATATTTTACCATTTTTAGAATAAAACATTAGAATTCATTCCCTCATGCAATTATTCTCCCAGAGCACCTCGTAACTGATATGCTGTCTACTCTATTTATTACATATTTTGATCACATATACCCATTTTTGTCAGTGCTACAAGTTTAGCTGTGACAAGCTCTCCAACTACCCATTCCTCCATCTTCTCCTTTCCTCCCCTCCTCCTAAGCTCCACCCTTCTCCACCCTCCCTTCTCCCTGCCTTTTTCTTTCTTCATAGGATAACTTTCTGGATCAGCCATCCTGGTTTTTAAGGTTATCTCAATAGTTCTTACAATGTTGTATTTTGGAGAACTTTTACCAAGAGCCTTCTCCCAGCACTGAGTAAATGTGACCTTTTTGACCACACCCTGGCCTACACTGAGAACTGTCATTTCACATAACTTTGAAAAATCCTTAGGTCATTTGTCTTCTTCTCTTTAATTACTAACGAGTTTTAGGTTTAAAAATATATGTAAGCTCTTGCTTTTAAATTTCTAGTTTGGCTCATTGGGTCTTATGAGTTGTTTTCTGTTCTCTAGACAATTTTTCTCATATTGTGACAATTATATTTCATTTTTAATACAGAGAATTCTTTGAGGATTTTTGATCAGTGGGATTTCTTTCTTTGTCTCTTTCTTTTATTTAAAATTTTATTATTTTCTCTATTCCTTGAAGTCATTCTCTGATTTCGCTCACAAGTATGAAAATTTTTGGATGCCATTTTTTTTAATATTAAATACAACTCTTATCTGTATTTTGATTAACATCGAGAGGTCTAGTATATATTTTTTAAAACTATCAGTTAATGTTCATTGTTTCTCAAATGTTCTCTGACCTTGTTGTCATAGTTTTGAGTATTATACTCTCCTTGGAACAAAGGTCTTAGTTCCTAAGCTGCAGTTTAGTTTTAGCTGTGTCTCTTGCTGTTGGGTCAGAATCTTATTTCTGTGACTGTGTGATGTTTAAACACCTAGTCATGTTCTAGCTGAATGTTCTGGGTCATGTTCTAGCTGAATTCTCTCTGCTTTTGTTTCTGTCTTGTTTGGGAGTTCTTAATTTTTAATTTTTTTTTACCTTCCAGATGAATTTAGGAGTCACTTTTGTCAATTAAAAATCACAGTTCCTGGTGATTTAATTTGAGTTATATTCATCCTGTATAATAATTTTAAGAGTCATTGATACAGTTCTGATATGATTTATTATCATTTATAAACTTGATCCAACTTTTTTAACGTGCTTTTTTCTAGAGTAAAGTTTTGACATTTTCCTATTACAGGGCTGGGTATTTATTTTGGGGTATTATATTTCTAAAGCTATTGTGAAGCATATGCACACATATATTGTATAACGGTTGCAGCAATGGCTACATTTCTCCTTTTATTTTCTTTTTTAAATAATTTATTTATTTTAATTACATGTGCATTAGTGTTTTACCTGCATATGTATTTGAGGGTGTCAGATCCCCTGGAACTAGAGTTACAGACATTTGTGAGCTGCCATGTGGGTGCTGGGAATTGAACTCGGGTCCTCTTGAATAGTAGTCCATGCTCTTAACCATTGAGCCATCTCTCTAACCCCCACCTTTTATTTTCTAACCAGTTATTGATGCTCAGGAAGTTTTTGCTCTCATGTGTTTATTTTGAATATGGCTTCCTTCATGTTTCTGGTGAATTTACTATAGTTGTTTTGAATGCATGAGCACATTTTACTGTCAGAACAATGTCCATGTGCCTACACTCAGAGTAAATAAGGATCAGGTTTTGACATCTTTCTGCAAATACGTTCTGGAGTACAAATAAAGCATTTACTTTCTATTCTTTTGCTGTAGATACTCCATTCTGCTAAATAATGTGCTGATGTCATTTCGTAGGAACTTAAAATTTTGCCTTTGAATCCTAATTATTTCTCCTAATAATAGCCTGTCTTCACTTAACTACCAGCTTCCGATCCTGGAGGATTTTTGTGTTGTCACTGTAAATATATGTAGGCTGACTAACACTGAATCTATTTCTCCCCTTAGTTTTTAATTCTAGACAAATAATATAGTTTATCCTTGCCTTAAAATACTGTCCTGGTGATAGCCCTAGTATGCTTAGAGATGGTGTCCAAAAGTCTTTCCTATATTTTAAAAGAATATTTTGATTTTTTGGACACGTTCATTGAATACTTTGTAATATACCCCATTGCTGGTAAGGGTGCATTTGAAACCCCTCTGAAGTGCTCCTGTGAGCTCCCCCTGGCCAGTCACTGTCCATTTAAAATCTGGCTTCTCGTAAACATACTTTGTGCAGGACTTACATTTAATTTAAGGGCTTACAAAACAAACAAACAAAAAAAAACAAAACAAACACAAAATCTCAGACACTTTTTTTCATTTTACACAAAGGGAAAAAAACAATCTTCTTAATGTTCAGGGAGACTTCTCTGTTTAATATGTCATTTCAGGACTATGCATTCCTAGGGACATTGTGTGCTGATTATAAATGCCTTTGTGACTATTGTTCTTAGCAATTCCCCCCACTTTTAAAGTCTATTTCTAAAAACTATTTGATTCATTCTTAAACCAGTATCCTGTTTCAAAAAATAAAATTCTATATGCTTAGCACATTTTAAAACCCTTCAAATAAAAATGTAATTATTAACATAATTCCCCTGGAATTTTTGAAAATTAGCAACATTGAGAACTAAAGGTATTATCTAGACAGAAGATTACAACTATTTATAACTACTTATCTACTTCAGAGAATATGGATGGTACATGTAAACACATGCATGTATACAAACACATATCCAACAATTGATATAGGCAGTCAATGTCAAAATAACTCAAGTAATATACTACATGACATAATAATGTAAAGTTACATGTTTTATTTCAGAATGTCTAGATAATACCTTTAATCCTCAATGTTGCTAATTTTCAAAAATTCCAGGAGAATTATGTCAATAATTACATTTTTATATGAAGGGTTTTTAAAATGTGCTAAGTATATAGATTTTTATTTTTGTGTGTATTTGGAGTATTTGTTTATGTTTATTTATATGTATTGTATTTGTTTTATCTATGAAAATAAATTGTAGCAAGTTTAAAGTGCAGATTGTGAATGTTCTGAGTTTAGTTAGTTTGGTTTTTAAAAGTATAATTTCTTTTAAAATGATGAAACATAAGATTCCAAAATATATCATTACTTTCAAAATATATTACTTAGGGCCAATAATTATGTCTGGCATTTACTCATTTTTAGTTGAAAAAAATTATAATATGTTGTAGTTGTGGAATTATAGTCAGAAAATTTAATGAGTCTCTTTTCTTCATAACTTAGAATTATGTCAATGTCTAAAATAGTTTACACCCTGTCCTGCTATTAAGATATGAGAGGAATGTTGAAACACTGTCTATGGTCACCAGACAGCAAAGTCCTGTAACTGAGAGACATATTTTTGCAGTGCATAAGTTTAGCAAATTACTGCTGAAGTCTAGAGGCAGCATGGATGCGACATCAACAGCTTTATTACCTAATGGTTGACTTGTACTTTAGTTTGCAAGTAATCATTTGTTTTGAGGGAAATAATTTTTTATTAAAAATTGTTAGGGCCCATTTCCAAGTGAGTGTAAATGTCCCCTGCCTTGTGTCACAGCAGAGTTCTGGACTGAAGTCAATGCTTTCCTTCTTAGACCTCTGGTACTATAGACCAATACACCAGTGAGAATAATCAGTGTTCAGCCTTTATAAGTCTAAGTACAAGTACGTTTAGATATGTGATTGTAATACTTGGTAGCTCCCAACATTGGGGCTGACCACCCTTTCCTTTGATTGACATATATCAGTCATCTAAAGTGCTGCTTTGTTTCTGATACAGTTCTGATCACTTCTCTACTGACTAAAACGGCCCTCTGAACAGTTGCAATTCATGCTCAGTCGAGTTACTTAACTCTAATAACTCCTAGACAATTTATGTAGACTTTTGAATTTGTATTTAGAATGGACAGGGGACTCACAGATCTTTCCAGTCATGAGGACCTGTCATGTTCATTACATGAACCTTAAGAGATGATCTAAGAAAGACTTTCCTCCTGTACTTTTAACAATCTTTCTTAAAGATTTCTATTGTTGTAAGCATTTTATAATGCTATCTATTATCATGTCTATCAAAAAGCCCCTCTAAGAATTATTCTTGAGGATTGAAGATAGTCTGACATAAATTATTTTTCCTGAAATCAATAGGTACTATGTTGAGGAGAGAGAGAGAGAGAGAGAGAGAGAGAGAGAGAGAGAGAGAGAGAGAGAGAGAGAGAGAGAAAGAGAGAGAGAGAGAGAGAAGAAGAGAGAAGAGAGAAGAGAGAAGAGAGAAGAGAGAGACAGAGAGGTGTATAGTCATTTAAAAAGAAAGGATTATTAACACTTTCAAGTTTTATCTGACAGACATAGGACAGCTACAAACTTGCCAATGGGCTTTAATAACATGCATTACATGAAAACATCAGTGGTACCTTCGAGATTCAGGCATTCTCCCCCTTAGATTTCTGTTTGTCTACACATCACATGAGTAATTCATCTATACTCGTTTATTGGGCTAAAAAGAGTATAACCTTATCTAATTCACCCACTGTTAAAGACTGGCCTTGGGTTATCATCTTCAGGATTATACAAAGGACATGCATACCTGCCAGGAACAGCCAGTCCTTTCTTCCTAAACCTCTCAGAAGAGTCTTCTCTAAAGAGTGTGTTGATGAAAACTAAACAACCCTATTAAAGCTATTGTGTACTAGCTGTACACAAGTCTTATGTCTAGGATTATTATAAAATAATAGTCATAACAGAACATGAAGATTACCTTCTAGATGTTTGTCATTTTGTATGTTTTCACTGTCTTTGGAAGTTCTTTTGACTTGCCTCTTAACATAGGACATAGTGCAAATTTTCATTTAGCGCTAATGTCTCATGGCTATTAGTCACTTATTTGCTCGTTAAAATGATAATCATAATCCAAAGAATTTAAAATAAAACAAGATAAACTATCATGCTTAACTCCTAACTTTTTTGGCTCCAGAATATGTTTATTTGTGAGTTTTGATTGTTTCTAATTAATTGTTGCTTAGTCCACTGTTTTTAAAATATTAATGGTATTGATTGGAGAGTTTGAGAATGATCCAAAAATTTATTTTTAAATTGTCATAAAATAGTGGTCAGTTTAACAATGGAAAGAGAGAAATAAGATATAGTTTAACTATTCAAAAATTGTGTTTCTTGTCGCAAAAGTAATAAGTTTATTTTTATCATAGATAGAAGTATATAGTTAGCTCATTTTAAAATGAGATTATCTGTTCTAAATTATCAAAGTAGAAGCTCAGCTATTTAAATATTGATCATTTTATATAAAAATATGATTAATATAGGAACAAACTCCTTCCTAAAAGCTTAATAATTAGTTTCATTTTAATAAATACTGAAAGCATGCACTAGTCTGTTACAGGGAGGCCCAGAGTGCACACTAAATAAAAATAAAATGCTTTTGAGATTTGTTGGTAAAAGAGAGTAACCAGTTTTTAATAGTATGTTGGATCGATGGAATTTTTTCAAGTTCTTTTTCATAGTTGTATTTATTTCTTAAGCAAGAAAAATTTAAATAATGTGAAAAATTATGCCCCCTTTATCCTCATGCTTAAATAATATGTTACATGCAAAAATATTATTTAAAAATGATTTTGTCATGAGTAAGAAATTTATTTTATTTATACTAATTTTTGAATTTTTCTTTTACTAAATCATTGCAAAGACTGTCAACCTTCTAACAGTAGTATTAGTATTAATTTCTCTAACCATGCATGATCCATTTAACCCCACAGTAGCTAGAGCTTGCTTGCCTTGTTTTTTCCCTTAAATTAAAGAAAGTATAAAAGTACAGTGGACATGTGCTCCACAAAGCGGGAAAGCAGAAAAACTCAAGTCTAATGGATTGTTGATGTTTTATTACTTCTCACACGGATTTTTTGGAGAACCATACCTGTATGACTTCTCTGAACTTTCTATGTTCAATGTGCACCATCGTTAAACCACTTGCTTTCTTCCTGCCTGCTCTTTGAAGAAGCCAATTAGGGATGAAGGGAAACAAGGGGTAGGCAAAACATTGTGGTGCGGTGTTCCTGCATCTGTCTGGGAATATTTCAGCCAAAAGTTTATTTGGGGAAAAAATAAACTATCATGTCACCACACGCACATATCCATGCACACAAACCCACAAATACTTTGGCTGCAAATTATTCTACAGTGATGTTGCTTGTTGTTGACTGTGTCTGTTCTGGTGTGTACAGCTGCTCTCCACCCCTGCATGTGTTTGCAGATTCTTGTCTGTGTGCTTGTTCATGACCTAGCTCATCTCCTCATTGTTTAGGTTAAACTTATTCAAGTAAATAAGAATTTATGGGTATGTCTGTTAGTTAGAAAGCCCTTCCTAACTTCAAAAGGTCTTCATTCCAAACTACTTTGGTCAGCATTTCTCAATAGGGTGATGTACTTTATCAGTCTTCTAAAGACTACTTGGCCCTACACGCACCCTTCCCAGGCTTGGAAAACAAATACTCCAGTCCTGTTCATTCTCTAAGTTGGAAATGGAAGGATTTGATGAAAATTCTCTTGTGAGGAATTGTACAGACTCCATCCTTCTTACTGAATGAATAAGAACTAAGACACAAGTCTCTTCTTCCATCTCTCCCCCACATTTTAGTTGAAAGAAAAAGGTCAAAAGTAGCAAAACGTAGCATAACAAAACATCAGTAGCAGAAGAACCCCTCTGTGGGACACTATCACATACTTTAAAGTTAACATTATGGAATATATGATTCCCCCTCAGTTTGCCTTCTCACTGACAGAATACCCATAATTCTTGTTGGTTATTTTCTCTCCAAAGTTACGTTCTGGGCCATTGGTGACTACACTCTCTGTTGTTCTGAACAATTGTCTTAACTCCACTCTTTAAAAATGTAATGTTGAAGGCGCATAATATTGAAGACGACTCCAGGATGAACCCCGAGTTTGCAGACCGACTGAAGCAGCTGGACAAGGAAGCATCTTACTACCGTGATGAATGTGGCAAGGCTCAAGCTGAAGTGGACAGGCTGCTGGAGATCCTCAAGGAGGTGGAGAACGAGAAAAACGACAAAGACAAGAAGATAGCGGAACTGGAGAGGTGAGTTCTGCATCCTGAGAGTTGTCCAAGGTGAGCAAACATTGATGGGTGGTGAGCCCTTTGACTTGGGCACCTTTGAAACACCCACCTGCACACACTCATATCACAAGTTAGAAGTTAATATGTGAGAAACATAACCTTCCAGGTGAAGGATGATGGTGTGTTTCTGTAGGATACTACAGAGACACAGGTATACCTTCTGAAGAACTAAGAACTCCTGCAGTATCTAGGTAAACAGCCTGGCTTCCTTAAGGGGTGCCTCAGATCCAGTACTTGTGCCAGCAAAGTATGCAAAAATTTGTGCTTTGACTATCTGAAACCTCAGTTCCTTCCCATTAAAAATGGTCATTTGTGGTTTTGGTTTGTCACAAGCAACAGAGAATATGGAGAAATATAGTTGAAGTTTCTTCATTCAGATAAGAGAAAGGGATGCTCTTGTCTTTTTGGATGTCTTTTGGCACACTGTAACAAATTCTTCCTTAAAAATTATCTTTTAAGAGGATCTGAGACTGCTTGGAAAATAAAAGTGATTAAATATGTTAGGTAGGATCTACATGATCACAAATTCAGTCTATAAGAATGAGTCTAAAGCAGACTTCTAGTGTCTTTATATTTTGAGATAAACTATACCTATATTATATTAATGTGTGGCAAGGTCAGGAAAATATTCTAGTTACTAATGCTTTTTCCTATACTTCTGTAAGGAAAGGACTTTCTAAACACTCTTCCATAGCTCTATAGAACCTCTGAGTATTTCTCATTGGTTCTGCAATAAGGTAGAATTTGTTTTTCTAGATTCAATCCATATGGAAGGAATCAGCCAATTTTGAGTAAATCACTGAATGCTTCCCAGCATGGACAGAGACTCTTGTGAGGTTCTGAAGGACTTGAAGACATGTGCAGAGCAGTGCTCTGTGACCTTACAAGAATGATAATGGGCTTTTGCTAAAGAAAGACCTGGGTTCCAATTTTGCATCTGCTATGTGCTAGCACTGTGACCATGAATCTTGTTAAAGCTGAATTTCTAACAACTTATTAAAATGTATTCTGTTTTGTATCTACCCAGTTTTCATATAAGGTAGGACACTAACCTCTTTATAAAGAATGGAATGCCAAAACAAATCAGTTCTCAATATTAACTGCCTGCATTGGATGGGCAGATGATTCACAGTGAAATTTCACCAATGTTTTCAATATTGTATTTAATCATCTAAACACCAAATTTATGAGTAGTTATTTTAATAATTGTAGCCTTATTTGTTGACACTGTGACTAAGTTTGATTCAATGTAACTAATTTTAGCACATAAGGCAGTTTCTTTTTTATTGAGTTAACTATGCAATTCAAATCTTTAAGGGCAGGCTGGCCAGATGGCTTAACAGATAAAGGTGCCTGCATTGGATTTCTAGGATCCACATAGTGAAAAGAGGAAGCCTTGCTCTCTGACCTTCAGACACATGCTATGGCACACACATGTCACTTCCTATATACACACAAACACATATATGCAAAAGAAAAAATTAAGGCATAATAAAACTTAAAAAATAATCTTTAAGAGCTTTTAATTTTAAAGTGTGGGAAAGGTCTGCCAGCATGCTGGTTCTTAAAACTCCAGGGCCATGGTTTAGGTATAGCTCTCTATATGATCTTTTTGGAGTTGCATTTCAAGACTGGTTTTTCTGAAGAAGAAGGAAAAAAAAACACTAGTATGGAATCACAAAGAACTTATGACTGTGTCTTCTTGTTAAAAAACTAGACACTGAAAAGTTGAATGACCTTCTGTGGTTATTCATTCATTTATTCATTCATTCACAATGGCCTTCCTGTGGTCAGAGATGAGCAGCTGTAGTGTAGGTCTATGAGCTTCTAGCCTACCTCTTGGAGAAGCAGTTATCTCAGTGGATGATTTCATAGATAGCAACACCAGCATAATTAGTAATGGCAATTATAACCATAAGAATAAAGTCTTTGTATTTTTTCATCACTGTGTGCCAGATACTATGTTGAGCACTTGACCTGGAGACTTGTATTTGACTTAATCTTTCCCACAAAAAATGATCAAGATGCCCCCCGCCCCTTTAAATATACGAGGAAACATGAGTTATACACATTTAGTGACTTTCTAAAGATGATAGTGCTCAGAAGAATCAAAACTAGAACTCCAACCTAGGAGCAGCTGAGAACAATGCCTTCCACCAAGGGGCCTTGTAGAGAAACTCATCTCGCAGCACTGAAGTCATGCAGGGAGCCCGAGGGTCCTCTCTTAGCAGGCCTTGAAGCCACCAGAGCCCCGCCTCTTCCTTATTAGTTTCTGTGAGGGAAAGTGACGCTCTGAATGTTTAGAAGGCATTTTTCTCTACTAAAGCAGTTCCTGAGAACTGTAATTGAAAATCAGGATCGGCTACTATAAACATTTACATATAAATGGCTTAATTATCTAGTTGGAAAAACAGGTCTTAGCTGGGCTGTGGAGCCATTAAATCATCAAGAATATTCACAGTTTTATTTCTTCAATATGGAAAGCATTAAAGCAGCAGTGATTTTACAGGCATTTATCTTTATGTACTTTCTGCACATTTTCTTTATCTCTGCATTTGCCTCTCCTTAAAGCTGATGCCTCCCAGGCACTGTAATTCATAAAACATGTGCCGGAGCCTGACTCTATCCCAGATCTCTGCCTGCCTGCATCTTGGGTCCAGCAGCAGAACACAGTCTGGGAAATGTCTGAGTCCCAGCCCAGCCCAGGCCCCCAAGGGGGTGGGGGTGGAGGTCCAAAGGAGAACTCTCCTGGGAAAAAGAAGGCGCAGCCTTGGCCTCCCTTTCTGAAGCATTATCTGCTGGGCTGCATGTATATTCGTTCCCACCAAAGGGTCTTCCTTGACTTTGTCAGGCAGCCCTTTTCACATGGGTTAGTATCTCTGCTGGCTGAAACTACAAAATTCATACCTCATAATGTTGAGAACTAAAGATTTCTTAGCATTGTGACATATATCTCCATTTTGGAGTCATAGAGAATGCTTGCAATTAAGTTTGTGATTTTGAAAACCCAAATATTGAACTTGAAATGAATTTGTGGTCTCTGGCTTGTAACGTGACCTACCAGAGCGAAAAGCCCTCTTTTTGAAGCAGCCCATGTTCTAAAATGTTCCAGAACTTCTGTCACATGCAACAAAACATTTGAGGTTAGGACTGACTCTGATACCCTGGCAGGGGCCAGCTTCTCTTCCAGAGGCCAGTTTGTCTTCTTATTCTGTTCATCTTCTCATTTAAAAGAGTTTCTCCACCATAAATATATTCTGCACAGCATACAGCTGTCATTTCCAGTGAAGTTGTTCCTTCAGCACCACAAGAATGCTGTTTCTTGTCAGCCATTAGAGACGCAGCTTTTTAAGGTGTATGGTAAGCTTCACTTGCTGTGCTTCTCACATGATGAACACTTGTCCTGGATGCTGATGTTCTAGCTGGAAGCAACCATAGGCTTCTCTGGAGGAGCTGGTCACAGGGAAAAGGCCTAAGGAAAACCCAAGAGTGAGTCAGAAGCAGGCTGCTTCCTTTGCTCTGTTGTGATGTAGACCACACAACTCAGCAGCTGACCGAACCTTGGAGTCAGCAAAGCACAATGCTCTGCTGTATTGATACTCATCACAATCTCCAGGGTTTATTTAAGTTCCAAATGAATCTGTGGTGCCTAGAGAAGGAAAGGGAATAATAGGTCTGTCAAACAAGGCCTTCTGCCACTGGCTTTCTTGTATCCCACTCATGGGAAGGAGTCAGTCGGGTGACCTCTAGCCATAATTATCTTAAATCTGTTAAAGCTTTTTCTGATGTTTGTCCAGAGCTCAAATTGAGTCCTCAGCCATATCCATCCCTCTAGATGGTGAAGGGGAGCAGGGGTCCCTGGAGACTCCCCCCATAAGACATAACATCAGAGCAGAAGACAAGGGACTGGTTAATTATCTAGACTGAGGGTTAATGCCATCAGACATTTGGACATTGAAAAATGATTTTTGGTGCCTAACAGAACCTTATCTAATGTTGAGAAAGAAACTATTATTTTCCTCTCTGATTTTCTCAATAATGTGCTGACACAATTTCTTTGATGCCTTTCAGGGCTCTTTTTGAAATACAAATTTAAACTTTCTTATTATTTCTAGAGTATTATAATATATTCTAAAAGTCTCACAGTACAGGGGAGAAATCTGGTGTGAATTCTACTTACTTTGGTATATACTTCTTTCCTCTGAGTAATTTTGTCTACTACTGCACTTGAAGAAATGTTTTAAAAATTATTTGGGCAATGTATTTGTTCTTGTTTTAAGCATATGGGTGTTTTGCCTGCTAGTATGTTTATGTACCACATGTGTGTCTGGTACCTGGGGAGACCGGAAGAGGGTGTAAGAGTCCCTGGACTTTTGGAGTAACCAATGTTTTTTAACTGTCAAGTAGGTGTGGGGAATTGAACTCATGTCCTCTGGAGGAGCAACCAGTGCAATCAACCACAGAGCCATCTCCAGCCAAGAAATTTCTTGAGAATAAAGTTGTAAGGGACTAAAACACTGTAGTGATCCCATAGAAAGATTTCAGAGCCAGGGTCCCTTGGGGAAGGCAAAGTGGCATCTGAAGTATGTGCTAGCTGTTCTAGCTCAGCATTTTCTACCAAGGGCCAAGATCCTCAGCTTAATTCAGTATGATCCAGAAGGATTAGAAACAGCAGCTGAGCTCTGTTGCTACAGTCGCCATGATGGCCATGACCTGGCTTGGATCAGTGGTACATTTATGACTGAGAAACACTCAACCTGGACTATGAAGTGCACCATGTGTGCACTTTAAAATTTTCTCTTTGATTTTTATCATCATAGTCGACATGATTTTCATTTGAAATGTTCGAGGTTAGACTTTATCATAAGGATTTGTCTGTCCATTTATGTGACATTCTTAAAACTACATTACAACATACAATGGCAGGGATTTGTGAGCAGATGTTTGGACAGATGTTTTGTGTATCCACCTCGCTGTTGGGAAGGATATTTTACAGGTTAACAAAAATGAACATCTCCTACACGTTCCTTTCATAGCTTGGAACATAATCATAACTTCCTCCTCTAAGCTTGCCTTCCCTTTACAGACTACTGTTTTGCCTGGTTGGAAGTTCTTATGCAAATAAGTTAACAAACACGTGGGTATTCTCAGTGGCAAAGCCAGAAATCTTGTTTATCTCAATGGAAAGGAACTATTCTCTGCTTTGGAAGTTGCCCTTGTAGAGAGGCTACCAGGCAGGCGGTACCTCACCAAAAGCCCCCCGCACAGGGCCTTTGCTTACTGCTAGGTGTAGTGCCCTATAAGCATTAACTGTGAGTCTTTGAGACAGAATCCACATTGCTAAGTTCCTTTATTTTTAAGAGTGAAGGAAAACATCTCTTAGGATGTAACCACCCAACCCACTTATTCAAATAAAAGTTTTTGTGACATCACAGCTTGACCTTAGTGATTTCAGTTTTGTTTTATCAAATGGAGAAAACAAAATACTGTACACACAAGTAGCTAGGGACTTCCTTTAAAAAAATTCAAATGTAGTCATTGTACTGAGGCAGGAACAGCTCTCTGGTTCCCATGAGTGCCTGTGTGATTATGTGTATGCAAGCAGATACCGGTTTCTTATGCATGGTCTATAATGGAACAGCTTATGGTGTGTGCCCAGGGCTATGGGGTATATATCATATAGAAGTTTTGCTTTATTATCCTTCGTTTGGTTATAGAACCTGCTAATGTACCATCTGTTGGCTGTATGTTTAAAACTAATGGCTCTCCCTCCTTTTGTTCTCTTTTGCTACCCCTTCCTTTCTGCTTGTCTCCAAACCGCTGCTCTCACCCTTGCTCCAATCAGCTTGACTCTCAGGTCAGTACTTTCCATTTTCCTCTCCCTGTCTCCCTTCTGAGCTCACCTTACTGCTTGCATTTGCTTAGTAAGAGAATTCACTGTGCTGTTTCCCCAAAATAGACTGCATGATGACACTACGTGAGGCAGAGGAAATACACAACGCTGGATGCTAAGTGCAGCTTAGGGGGCAAAGAGCTCCTCCCTGTGACAGATGATGTCACAAACCAAAAAGCATTTGGACCTTTGTTTATGGAATCAAGTCAATTGTGTTTTGAAATTCAAATTTTAAATGTGCTTTGAAGGACTTACAGGGCTTTCTTAAAGTTACTTTTGAAAATGATTGGTATGTTAGTTACATAGTGCACACACACACACACATACATACATACAGTGCATACACACATACAGTGTATATACACAGTGTACCCACACATACAGTGCACCCACACATACAGTACACCCACACATACAGTGCATACTCATATACAATGTATACACACATACACTGCACCTACACATATAGTGTACCCACACATATAGTGCACACACACATGCAGTGTATATGTGTATATATACATACATATATATGTATATATATATATAGTATGCACACATATAGTGTATATACACATACAGTATATACATACAGGATGCACACATACAGTGCATATACACATACAAGTGCACACACACATACAGTGCACACACAGTATGCACATACACACAATTTTTCTGTCATTGTTTCAGTTTTGAGTTGTTAGTTTCCTTTCTACTAACTGGATATTATACTTTAGTTATCCAAGGCAAAGGATGTAGAAACAAGTGTGAAACTGGATTCATGATTGAATGTTCACTGTAGATTAAAAGAAAAGTGGACATTTTGTTTGAAATTTCTATCCCAGCTTTGATTTCTGCTGTTGGAGGTCCAAGTCAATAATTTTCCCTTAAGTTAAGGAATATTTTTTCTTTTACAAATACATGGTAATTTAACATAATGAAATATTTAATCTATTAAATTATATTATTATAATTTAATAATAATATTCTTTATTATTCAAATGATGATTTTTAATAAAGGATGCTCGTTGTATGTTTTGGGGCTATATAGACTTCAAAAATATAAAATGGGATAAAAAGGCCAGCCTTCAGTTTGAAGTTGGTAGTTCTTTTGAGAGACAAGCTTTATTAAATTTTCCTCCTTATGGAGGCGCTCCACTCTATTCTGTTCTGTCCCCTAAGCCACCAGGCCTGTATCTTCACACCAACAGCAAATGATTTCAAAATGAAGTCTCCTGCTTACATACCAGCTTTGTCTCACCACCAGCTCCCAGTTCTGTGTCTCCCAGGCTCCCAGGCCCTGTGCAGTCTCAATGGTTCAAAGGTACTACACTCTGGATGCCTTAGAAACCTCTTGAACATCATCAGACTGCAGGAAAATCCACTCTTAAAAGCTTCACTCTTCAGAGGTCTTATCAGTGTTCATAGCACAGACATACAACAGTGTGCTCACCAAAGAGCTAATGCAGTGGACCAGACCACCATACCTGTTTGCAGAATTACAAATTTCACAATGGGATATGGGCAGAAGATTCAGCCACTTGGCATCTAAACCCATATTCCAGAGTTTGGATTTACTCATTCAATGAAGCTTTCAGCTTTTTGCCCTGCCTTTCCCTTGCCCCCTGTCATTTGCTACCCTTGACCTACACTTTTGCTTTTGTGACAAGGGCTCCCTTTGCTCTTATGCCTCAGTCCCCTTGCCTGAGTCTTCAGTTTTTCCCTCTTCTTTTGTATCAGTAACTGTGATGGAATGTACTTAGTTTTCCTCTTATTCAAGGTATATGGACATGGATTATTGTTTCCATTATTGTACAAGGCCAGGATTGACAGTAACTTGGCGTAACTATTAAATCCCTGGATGAAGGGTAGTGTGTGCTGATTTCTTTGATAAAATATACCTGCCAAGTCTAGTAGATAAACTGTACAGCCTAAATCAAGGTTCAGATCATTCCAATATCATCTAACAGATTGCTTCAAATGAATCTGAAGGAGAAAATGGGCCATCATTGGGAAAATTCTCTGAGTGTTTTTAGTATAGAAAGAATTGGACAATCTTGAGCTTACAGAAAGGAAAAAGTCAGTAGAGTCTTGGAAATCTTTCTTAAGCTCTGGCAACCTCTTAAAATTAACTGTGCTCCTCCTGCAACTACTTCCAGGTTTACCAGTCAAAGTAAAATAGAATGTATCAGTAGAACTGATTACAGGATTTGGCCCATATACTGTCTTTTTATGGCTTACTCCAGAGAGAGAGAGAGAGAGAGAGAGAGAGAGAGAGGGAGAGGGAGAGGGAGAGGGAGAGGGAG